CAAAATAGTTTTGAATCACAAGGACGGTGATTCAAACTCACCAGTCACTCTTTAGGAACACTCTACTGGGTCTCTGACTCGACAGCACTTAACAACAACAACAACAACAACAACAACAACAACAACCTAGTATTGTTACCAGTCAATAGCAAGTCATATTTGAGGATTTATACTAAAATTACAGAATTTCTGTTGTGCCGATAGTTGCAAAGTATCTGTCACTATGGTGTGAAGCACTGTGAGTGTAACTCATTTTTTAAAATAAAAAAAGCTTTTGTGTATAACCATTATGTTAAAAAGAAGACTCAAAGTTTAATTCAGGTAATAGTTGGAAGCCTGAAGCTTTCTGAAGTTAAACTTCTTCCTTTTCTAGCTATATTCTACTTTAGCATTGGTGTGGAAGGTAACTGTGGTCAACAGTTTCCCTTATTTTCTCTATCGGCTTTTCACTTTTAACAGTCATTTTTGCAGCAATGGTTTCATCTCCTAAAGTGATTGGGTGGGGTTATTATTTCCTTTGGTCACATAAAGGAACGCTAGTGGAATGATGAGGTAAGCATTGTGCTGGTACTTGAAGAAAGATATCAACTTTGTGGAAGAAAGATGTGGTTGTCTGTCCCTAAAAGTTTTATAGTCTTAGAAACCCTATGGAGGTGGAATTGACTTGATAGCAGTGTTGTTTTTGTTTTGTCATATAAGATACTGAGATTTTCTTATATGTTTGTACTATTTGGAGATCTCTGACTCACTGGGGCTATCTTACCTACAATTCCTCTTAGGTTCTAGTTTTGGTGATCCATCTCATACAGATTCTTATTATTGCATTCCAATAACAATAGTACTTTTATGTTTACATGGTCAGAATCTCTCTGAGATATCTTCTGGTAGTGCGTGTTCTTCTTGTTGCCCCAGAAGATATCTCTTCAGTTTTCTTAACTCCAGATCCTTGCACATTTAATTATAATACTTTGCCTTCTTGAGATGCCCTTTGAAATTTTTTTGCTCAGCTCATTTACCTTATCGATTCTTTAAGTCACTTCAGGTTCTCTATATGCAAGAGAAAGCTTAGAGTTTCTACAGACATCCATTTTGATATATATATTTTTTTCTTTCCTGTCTTTGTAATGACCTTTTGCCGTCTGCATGTATGATGTTATTGATGTCACCTTATAGCTCTTCTGGTCTTAAGTCATTAGTATCTAATATATCAAATCTGTTCTGGTCTGTGAATTCAGTTGGGTTATTTTCAAAGCCATATTTAGATTCTCATGAACTTTTTTGTTTGTATAGCACTCAGCCCCTGGTATTGTTTTGGCTGGTAATAATGAGTTTCTCCATCATTTCTTCCTACATGTAGTTAATTTGATTCTTGAATATTCTATATGGTGAGGTCTATGTGTATAGTTGCCTTTTATGTTGTTTTAAAAAGGTATTTGCAATGAATAAGTCATTAGTCTTGAAAAATTCTGTCATAAGATCTCCAGCATTGTTTCTATCACCAAAGCAATAGTTTCCAACTACCAATCCTTCCTTTTTGTTTCTGACTTTCACATTGCAATGAGCTGCAATGATCAATGCATCTTGAGTACATTGGATTAATTTTAGGCTGAAGAACTTGGTAGAGCTCTTCAATTTAGTCATTACTGTGGCTTTATTGATTGCTGGGTAAAATTAAAATAATTGTCACATTAACTAATCTTCCTTGTAGGTGTGTGGATATTAGCCTATTACAGACAGCATTGTACTTCAAGATAGATCTTGAAATGTCTTTTTTGACAATGAGTGCAACACGGTTCCTCTTCAATTGATTATTCCCTGCATAATAAACTATATGATAGATTGATTCAAAATGCCCCAAACTAGTCCATTTCAGCTCGCCAGTGCCTAGGACATCAATCTTTATGTGTTCCATTTCATTTTTGATAAATTCCTATTTTGATAGATTTCACATTTCCTAGATTCCACTTTTTTCCATATATTTTCCTATCTCATTATTAATGGATATTTTGTTGTGCTGTCGAGTCAGTTTCAACTCATAGTGACCCTGTATAAGGTTTCCCAGGAGTGACTAATGAGTTTGAACTTCTGACATTGAGGTTCAAAATGACTTTGTAGTCCAATGCATTAACTCACAGCGCCATACCAGTACTCCTAATGGATATTGTTGTTGTTACGTGCCTTCAAATCACTTCCTACTTAGAGTGACCCTGTAAAGGGTTTCCAAGTAGTGACTGGTGGGTTTGAACCACCGACCTTGAGATTCATAGTCCAATGCTGATCTTACAGTGCTACAGATACTGTTGTTGTTAACTACCGTGGAGTCAGTTC